ATCTTTCTGTTTTGGTTACTTGGAGACTGGTTCTCCCTCTAGCCCAGGCTGGTCTGGAACTCATCAGGTAGCCCATTCTGGCAATCTTCCTGCCTTAGGCTTCTGAGCACTGGGATCAAAGGTGTGTACCACCATGCCTGGCCCTTCTTCTTCTTTTTTTTTTTTTTGGTTTCAGAGACAGGGTTTCTCTGTATAGCCCTGGCTGTCCTGGAACTGACTCTGCAGACCAGGCTGGCCTCGAACTCAGAAATCTGCCTGCCTCTGCCTCCCAAATGCTGGGATTAAAGGTGTGCACCACCACTGCCTGGCACTGGCTCTTCATTCTTAATCAACCTATTTTTCTGTATGTTTTAATGTCCATAGTGATGGCTGGGATAGCCATTTACCTCCCATTTGGTGTCATTAAGTGTTCCTCTGAAGAACTAAGATGCTCAATTTTTTGTTGTTTTGTCCTTCTGTCTGTCTGTCTTTTTTTTTTTTTTTTTGAGACAGGGTTCCTCCATTTCTGGGCTGACCTGGAATTCTCTGTGGAGACCAGGGTAGCCTTGAGTCACCCGTGTCTGCATCCTGAGCACTAGGATTGAAAGCAGGCATCAACCTGCCCTGCTAATATTCACAAACTCTTAAAGTTCTGTTTCTATTTTGGCCTTTCTGTAAAACCTAGTATGTTCTGGAAAAAGGGGCTCAGAGTCCAGGCTCAGCCACTGCTCTCCTCCGCCACATCAAACTCTAACTGCATCTCCAACTAAAACGGTATCTGACTTTTATATTTGCACTTTTTTCCTTTCTTCTCTCTCTCTCTCTCTTTCTTCTTCTTCCTTCCTTCCTTTCTCTTTCTTTTTTCCTTCCTTCCTTCCTTTCTCTTTCTTTTTTCCTTCCTTCCTTCTTTCCTTCCTTCCTTCCTTCCTTCCTCCCTTCCTTCCTTCTTTCCTTTCTCTTTCTTTTTTCCTTCCTTCCCTTCTCTCTCTCTCTCTCTCTCTTTCTTTCTTTCTTTCTTTCTTTCTTTCTTTCTTTCTTTCTTTCTTCCTTTCTTTCTTCTGGTGCTGGGGACTGAAACTAGGGCCTTAAGTTTATTAGCCAAGCCCTCTTGTGAACCAAATTCCCAAGCCCTGTGATTTTCTGTATTTGGTTTTATCGCCTGTAGTAAGAATGCATTATTGATATAACCTGACAAAACATGAAGGCTAGTTTGATTGCCTCGTGTTCAGTTCCTTCAGGTCTCAGTAGGAGTGGAGCAATGTGGCTTAAACATTAACCTGAGTGAAGCCTTTCCTTGCTTCTTCTCCAGGATGTGTACTCTGTCAGCATTGAATCCTGCCACCTGCTTTCTAAGTCAATTCTGAATACACCATTAGCTCCCACAAACAGAATATTACTTTATTCTGTCCTTTAAGATGTTTCAAATATCAGTTCCCCTATGCTTTGAGGCAGGGTCTCATGGCAGCCAGGCTAGTCTCAAAGTCCCCGTGTTGCAGGGATAACTTTGAATTTCTGATCTTCCTGCCTTCATCCCGGTGCTGGGTGACATGGTGTTGGAGATCAAGCTCAGGGTATTTTCAGTCTGCTGGGCGACCATGCTAACAACTGAGCTACGGCTCTGGGCGATCATGCTAACAACTGAGCTACGGCTCTGGCCCTCTCCCATTCATCTGTCTCCTCGTTCTTTCTCTCCTACTTGGCTATCGCCTAAGCCGGCCCTTTAGCATCTCACCTGTATTACACATCACCCTTCTAATTAATCTACCCACCTCCAGCTCGCCTCTGTCCAGTGAGGCCTTGAGTCTCTCCTACTTGGCAGCCATCACTGGTGCCCGTGTCTATGGGATTCTGAATCAGGATGTCTCAGACACACTGGCTTTATCTCTTCTTGCTTCTTAGGAAGAGCCCTGTAGTTGAGGATACTCGGCTACCTCCATGTTCCTTGGACCTGGCTCTTTTTTGTCTTGTGGGTTTGGACCTTGTTTTCCCTTTATTTTGAAAATTCTTCCTTCTTTTCCATGACAACCATTCTAACTAGTTAGAAAGTTAGGCTCAGGATGCCTCCTCTTCATTCTCCCTCCCCTCTACCCCAGTCTGATCTTACTACATCCAGAAGAGCAGCAACGGAGACAGTGGTTGCTAACAGAAAGCTTTGAAAACATGGACTTGTTAAATACAATGACCCTATTGGGTAGACATTGCCTTAAACATCTTTTTTCTTCTAACATTTGTCCCAGTTTTCAGATGGCTTGGTTAGTTCTGTTCCCAATAGACAGTCTCAATCAACTGGCTACAGGTTCTGTAAATGTTTTGTTGGGTTTTTTTTGTTTTGTTTTGTTTTGTTTAATTTGGGTGTTTTGCTTTAGAATGTGATGAAGTGAATAGCATTTAAGTAAGCCTTGATTTTAGGATTAGGTGATGTGAGATTTTTATGGGCCACTTTGGAAGGCACTTGGATTCTAGCCAGAGGCTCTGGAGTTTTTCTTGCCACCTTTGCACTAGATGATATCGACATCCACCTTGTTGCTCAAAGAAATGACCTGTAGTTACCTTGTGTCCACGTTTCTTCACTTCTGCACCTCAGGGAAGTACTCTGAACTCTCTCACCTTTGGTTTCTACAGCAAGCACCCTAATCTAGGGACTGACCATGATCTACCCCACATGCTTAGCCAAGAACATCTCTGTTATCTTGTTTCTCCTTGTTCCACTTCTGTTCTGCAGAGATCTTTCTCTACAGTCTTTATAAAATAGGTAAAAAAAAAAAAAAAGGGAAAACCCTAGATGAAAACAAACAAGAACACACACACAACAACAACAACAAAGCCCAGGTTGGCTGTGGTGGCTCTGGCCTTCAATACCAACTGAGGCAGGTGGATGAATGAATTACAGCCAGTGCTTCACAGTGAGGCCATGGTTCAATTCCCTCCTTACCCACAAAACTCCTTTATCGTCTTTTCTTTGAGCTTATGAATAAGAATCCACACAACAGGATTGGGTTCCTGCTCATGGCTCCAACCTCCCTGTCCTTCTCCCTCCCCCGAGGTGTGCTCCGGGCTCCTGCTCCTCAGACCAGCCAAAGATGTTCAGTATCAGGCACATCCCACTCATTGTCTTCTGTCTAGAATGTTCTTCCTGCCTATGGCTGGGATTACTAATTCTTCCTTATTTAGGTCTTAATTCAGACCACCTCAGAAAAATCAGCCTTTCCTTTGTCTTTACAAAATGTAAATGGTTAATTGTGTGTAATTCAAGTTATCCAACTCTGTATTATTTTATGAAAACCTGGGAAACCTTTAACACTAATCATGGCATTGTTTCACATCTTCCCCCAACCACTCTCTATTTTTTCCTAACATGTATCATGACTTGCAATTGTCTTATTTTTCTTCCCCACTAGAAACACACACTTGCAACTGTGGTGGCTGCTTCTGTTTTTACTTCATGATTGTACCTTGATGCGTGCCTTGAAGTAATGGGACATTCAAGTCATTTAAAAGGCGTCCTTGGAACTAAATAATCAAAAGGTGATTTGGATTGATTTATGAGGTAGATAAAGCAGTTTAGGCCTTGGACTTCTCAAAAGCAAAGATGTGAGTGAATTTAGGGTAAAGGTGGGTGAAAAAGATAACCAAAAGAAACAGACTGGAGAGACACTGTCGGCCTGCAAAAATTGAACTTCTCATCCTCCTACTTACTGTTTCTTTCTTTCTTTCTTTCTTTCTTTCTTTCTTTCTTTCTTTCCTTCTTTCTTTCTTCCTTTCTTTCTTTCTTTCTCTCTTTCTTTCCTTTCTATAGGGTCTCTTTACAAAGCCCTGGCTGTCTTGAAACTCACTATGTGGACTAGGCTGGCCTCCAACCAACAGAGATCCAGAGATCCACCTGCTTCTGCCTCCTGGATGCTGGGACTAATGGTGTGTGTCACCAGGGTCAGGGGCTTTATTACCAGCTCTGGATTTATTTATTTATTTATTTATTTATTTATTTATAACTGAGTAAATGAAACAATGAATAGGCAAGCGTCTTTATCAAGAGTCCTAACAGAAGTGAATTTTTTTTAGTACTAAATGTTCTGTTGGGATAGGAGGAGAAAGCAAAGGCAGTTGAGCACTTTCAAATGCTATCACCCAACAGTTGACAGAACTGTTAATCACAGTTGTCCTAGAGAGGGCAAAAACTGGGCACACCTGTGCAAAGCCAAGGTCTAAGGTGAGTAGTGTTGCCTGCTATAGGCCAGCAGGGGAACTCCTTTTGTGGAAGGTCTACAGAGAAGGCAATTCTTGCAAGCCTCAGGCTTTGTTTAGGGTATCTGACTTGGAAAGGAATGGTCAGCTGGACAGATTAGGGTCTAACTGAAAAATTAATGAAGCCAGTTTAGCTGACACTGTTTTGCAGGCTGACAGTGTCTCTCCAGTCTGTTTCTTTTGGCTTTCTCTTTCACCCACCTTTACCCTAAATTCACTCACATCTTTGCTTTTGAGAAGTCCAAGGCCTAAACTACTTTATCTATGTCCTAAATCTATCTGTATCATTTTTTTTGACTATTTAGTCCCAAGGATGCTTTTTAAATTACTTGATTGTCCCATAACTTCAAGTGACTCACTTCTGTCTTATCTAAGTTTTGTGTTGCTGAAGGACAGCCTGAGTCAAGTAGAATTTAGATCACAATGCAGCTTATGACAAGTTTTTGGCCAGTGCTTCTATCTTATTCTTTAACGGTCAGGGTCAGACTCCCCTTGTCCCATGCTGCTTCGCAGGCTGCCTTTTCAAACTCTCAGGAAGTTGACTCAGTCCCCTCGCCGCTACACTGGAAGAGAGTTGGGGTGGAGCCAGAAAGGCAGGTAGCTGGAGAAGCCCAGCGGGTACCCTAAAGCTGGCAATGGGCGTGGCAGTGGGCGTTGCCAGGCGCCGCAGGACCACCAATGGCATCCGGAGCTCGGGGCGATGCGCGTGACGCAGCCGCGGGCTGGGAGGTTGGGCGGAGAACGGGGGTGGGGGCCTGCGCTTTATCTTCCTCCGTAGCCCGGCTGGCGGCGTTGCGGGCCAGCGAAGGGACACCTTAACGCAACGACCCTCCCGCGGCCGCCCAGCCTACCGCCTAGACCGCCAGAGCTGCCCTCGGGTCGCAGGTAACCCGACGCTTCCACCCCCTCCTCCTTTCCTGACCAGGTCCACCCTGAGCCCGAGAGGAAGGGGACTGCGGTGGCGGCCCCGTTCCGGCTCTGCGGGCCTGGCCTGGGCCGGACTGTCCCGCCCGGACGCTGCTTGCTACCGGGAGAGGGTCCCGCCGTGTTTAGAGGGTAGAGCGGGAAAGTTACCCGCAGCCATCCGATGCATCCGATGACTGGCAGCCTTTTCATTATCGGTGATGGTTTGATGTCCCCTCCGAATCATGTGGCGTCTCTAAAGCCAGTCAGTGGTGAAGAAAGTTGAGAATTAGAAGTCATCGCATTCTTTGAAAAGCGACATCAGAAAATGCGCTCAGGAAGTCAAGTTTTTTTTCTTTTTTTTTTCCTGATGTGGGCGGGGGAGCTGTATATATCTGAAGGGAAAGATGGCACTACCAGACACCAGACTCTATATGGGCTAGGGGCGCCTAAAGAAACCTGTCGTCAAGCTCGTATTCTGTTTTAAAGTATCAGGGGGGAGTTAAGTTTCTGTCTTTGATCTTAAGTGCTGATAGGCATGTAACTTAAGCTATATATTTATGTATATTCAGCGGTTATTTGGGAGAAATTATTGCAAGCTCCATTCTCTGCATTTTTATAAAATTCTTTGGTCACTGTAATACTTAAGTAGTTGCCACTGTTTTTCCCCCCAAACTTCTTGCCTTCTTCAAGAATGCAGAAGCCAACTTGAGTATTTTCTTTTGTTTGCTTTCAACTGGGAAATATGACTGGTTTTTTAAAAGCTCAGGCAGCATGGAGTGAGGCTTGCACGGGAGTGGGGCTTGCATAGGGCTGATGCAGTGAAGAGTAAGCAGAGTAAAACGTGGAGGAGCACACGCTCAGCTTGTCACGTGCTTGGAACTGGTCAGGGGTTTCACGTTCTTTCAGGACTCAGACCAAGCTGCAGGCGCCTGAGCTCCTGTTATCTTCACGCCTGGGCTGGTTCTCTAGGCTCCAGCTTCCTTTCTTGTCCTTGGAAAGCTTCCTCTTATCTCCTGGACCTTTCCCCCCAGGCCTTATTCCCCTTCTCCAACCCCCCCCCACCCCCCAAGCATTCCTCCAACCAAAGATCACTTCCCGGTAGGAGCCACTGGTCAGTGTAAGCCGGTTAGCACTCTGAAGTCTCCTTACCAGCAGTTAATCATCTGTTTTAAGTAGGTTCTTTAATTGTTTTATAGTGGATTTCACGAGGTTAGTCTATCATTTCTGTGTCTTCTCATTGTCTGGCTCAGTACCTTGCAGGAACAGAACTAAAGAGTGGGAGGGCCAAAGGAGGAACTTTGAGAAAAAAAAAAAAAACATTGACTTTAGGCATTAACATAGGAGTGCCTGCTTCCAATGGAAGTTCCATTTGTCAGACAGGACTCTTAGAATTTTTTCTTTTTTTTGCCATATTGGATAACTAGTTCTATTTAATCATTTGTAAGTAAACTCAGATGTAAGTAAAATTTGCCCAAGTTCTCATGTTCTTCTGTCTCATGTCCTTGTTAATTGACCCAGTTCTCTTTGCTACATGAAAATAATGTAGGGTTGCCAGGTGGCTCAGGGTCGCAGAGACAGTCAGATCTGAGTTCCAGGCCATCCTGTTCTACAGAATGAGTTCTAGGAGAGCCAAGGCTATATAGAGAAACCTTGTTTTGAATCCCCTCCCCCCCCAAAAAAAAAGACCCTGTAAAATCCCCCAAACAAAATGCCCCCTTAAAAAGCCATTTTTGGAGGGAAGAAAATGAACACATTATGCTTTGGATTGTTATTTCTTCCTTCCTTCCCTTCCCTTCCTTCCCTCCCTCCCTCCCTCCCTCCCTCCTTCCCTCCCTCTGTCCCTCCTTCCCTCCTTCCCTTCCTTCCTTCCTCCCTTCCTTCCCTTCTTTTGACAGGATCTCATGTAGCCCAGGCTGTTAAAACATTGTATAGCTGAGAATGATCTTGAACTGCTTTTCCTATCTCAACCCCCCAAATGTTAGGATTATAGGTGTGTACCACTGTTTCTGAGTTGGATGTACAATCTATCCACAGTGGTGTTTCTTTTCCGCTGAATTTCTAGGTGATGTAGGAGTTACTCACCTGCAGTGAGCACCCATTATTTATTTGTGATACAGCTTTATAGGTTCTTTTGAAACCTTTGTTAATAAGAAAACTGCCGGGAGGCTAAAGTTGACATTTCTTTGGGACATGATTCATTTGTTTCTCTAATTCTTATTTGCTTTCTGGAGACAAGTTAAAATGCTTACCGCAGAACATTACACAACTTCCCTGTACAGATTGGTTTCTTACATTCTTGTCTAATCAGTGTGTTACATTTTAATACAATTGTGTGTGTGTGATTGTAGCTCGCTGGGTAGGGATGGTGCATGTGTGCCACTATAGTGAGAGTATGGAGGTCCGAGGACACCTTGGTGGAGTTGGTTTTCTCCTTCTACCTGTACATGGCTTCCAGGAATTATTGAATTTGGGATGTTAGGCTTGTGTGACAGGCATTTTTACCCACTAAGCCAGCTGACTAGTCCCTCTGGTCAACTGCATCACCCAAAAGGAGCAGTTCCGCTACACAAACGTACATCTTTGCACATGGAGTGGAAATGTGTGTGGTGGCTCAGGCCTATTATCCCAGCACTTTGAGGAAGAGGTAGGCAGATCTGAGTTCTAGGGCAGCCAGGGCTACACAGTGAAACCTTGTCTCAAAGAACAAACGACAAAGAAACTCCCCAAACAGACAGAAATCAGCAAGAAATAAGACCTTCAAATGTTAAGTGAGTTAGTGGCCTACCTCTCCTGGTGCCCAGTGCTGTGAATGGTCCTTACTTTCCTTTACTGCTGGGCCTCTCATGAGAACAGTCCTATGATTTGTTTTCAGTTCCTCAACATATTTTGCAACCTACTCCAATACATTTTCTCTTCCTGAAACCAAATGTACACGTAGTTAGTAAATCACCCACTTTAGCATATTCTCCACATTGTGAAATAGCTGTCTCAAGTTCCACCTTCTTGTTTTTTTTAATAACCCTTGTCATA